AAAACGGTACAGGTGGCGCCATCTAGCGGCGAGCGGCGGAACTATGAAAAACTAAAATTTCGATTTTCTCCGAAACTAGAAAATTTTAGGTATTTCTGAGGGTCAGAAATTGTTCTGTGACCTCTCTAGAACTTATATAATGCCACATGAACCCCCTGAAAGTGCTAGAAAAGAAAATAGAAAAATAGTCCAAAACATGGACTAAAAAATTGGCGTCCATCTAGCGGCATGGACTAAAAAATTGCCGTCCATCTAGCGGTGAAAGTTGGAACTACAAAAACATAAAAATGCTATTATCTCGAAAATTAGCGAACTTTGAGTACCTCTGAGCCTCCTTCTCGAAAATTAGCGAACCTTGAGTACTTCTGAGGCTCACAAAGTGTTATGTGATCGCATTAGAAGCAAAATAAAGCAATAAAAGTTTCCTGAAAGCTTTAATAAAGAAAATTAAAAAAAATGTCATTTTACGGGCATACGTTTTTTCAGTTTAGTTCGCTGTTTCGCCGCTAGATGGCGCTACAAATTTTCTACACGCGTTAAGGAAAAATATAAAAAGTAATATTTCGCAATTTTGACAACGCAGTATGCTGCCTTAGACATTTTAAAGCAATTTCTGTTGAATAAGTTATTCATTTTTTTGCCTATTAAGCCCTGGAAATCAACTTTTATTTGACCCCTTTACTGCGTGTTTGAAACTTTTATTGCTTTATTTTGCTTCTAATGCGATCACATAACACTTCCTTAGCCTCAGAAGTACTCAAGGTTCGCTAATTTTCGAGAAAATCGCATTTTTATATTTTTGTAGTTCCAACTTTCGCCGCTAGATGGACGCCAATTTTTTAGTCCATGTTTTGGGCTATTTTTCTATTTTCTTTTCTTGCGCTTTTAGGGGGTTTTTGTGGCATTATACAGGTTCCAGAGAGGTCATAGATTGATTTCTGACCCTCAGAAGTCCTTAAAATTCGTTAGTTTTCGAGAAATTCGAAATTTTAGTTTTTCAATTTTCTCCATAAAATGACATTTTTTTAATTTTCTTTATTAAAGCCATCAGGAAGCTTTTACTGCATTATTTAGCTTCTAATGCGATCACATAATGCTTTCCGGGCCTCAGAAGTACTCAAAGTTCACTAATTTTCGAGAAAATCGCATTTTTATGTTTTTGTAGTTCCAACTTTCACCGCTAGATGGACGCCAATTTTTAAGTCCATATTTTGGACTATTTTTCGATTTTCTTTTCTAGCGCTATCAGGGGGTTCTTGTGGCATTATATAGGTTCCAGAGAGATCACAGATTGATTTCTGACCCTCAGAAGTACTTGAAATTCGCTAGTTTTCGAGAAAATAGAAATTTTAGTTTTTTTTTAGTCCATGTTTTGACCTATTTTTTTATTTTCTTTTCTAGCGCTCTAAGGAGGTTCTTGTGGCGTTATATAGATTCTAGAGAGGTCACAGAACAGTTTCTGACCCTCAGAAATACGTAAAATTGCCACCTCAGAAGTACTTGAAATTCGCTAGTTTTCGAGAAAATAGAAATTTTAGTTTTTTGTAGTTCCACCGCTCGCCGCTAGATGGCGCCACCTGTACCGTTTTGGACCGAATTCGACAAAAATTGATTTCCTGACTTTATTACGCATCAAAACGCATCAAACCCTAATAGAAATTTGTTTCTAAATGCCTCAGGAACCATACTACGTCCCCAAAGTGTCAAAATATTCATTTGTTTATTTTTCTTGTATGCGTGTTCGGGCCCTCATTTTTTATTTAGGTTTAGTTCACCCACTTCGCCACTAGATTTTCAAGCCCATAAACTGCACTATTTGTATATGCAATACTTTGTAGTTTTATACCTTTTGTTATTCCGTCAATAGAATTTTATATTTGTATTTAATAAAGACAACAGATATAGGTCCGTTTTAGATCTGAAGTGTATTTAAAAAAAAAAAAAAACTGCACTATTTGTAACGGTCTACTATTATTAATACTTGACTCATACTATTGTTAAACCCAGAAAATTAATATATTTGGAGGGATGTTACTTCAAATTTGCTCCCATTAATTCCAAACTTCCATCGCTCGATGGACGGCCATTTTTAAGTCCATGCATTGTTTTCTTATTTTTGGAAAATCAAGGATTTTGTCTATTTTTTGCTAAGTACAGATGTGATAATTAGCTGTTTTGTTGTATTTTCAAGTTTTGCTTTGAGCGTTGAGACTTTTAGTAATAGCGTATTGTTCTTGTCTCGTTTCACTTCCCCTACAGGGAAGTTATTTAAATGTGGCGTTTCCATCAATGTACATTCTTTAATTATGGTATTTATGGTATGGTATTTCTTTAATATATGGATTTTGACTATGATTGACATTTATAGATTGGACTCACATCACAGCTCCTATAAGCGTTTCTTTTCTCCGATTCCTATGGAACTGAGGGTCTCGATCATGGAGGTCGTTATCTCACCAGATTGGATGGCCGTCAGCTCAAAAACAAAAAAAAGCATTAAAAGATTCTTTGAAATCTTCGAAAAGGAGTGCCTCCCCTCCTCTAGAGGTGGTTTCTAATACATAACTGCCATATTACTGCAGCGTCACTCGGAAATGCGCCGAAACACAAAGATCCAGCAACGTTAGCTTTGACCATAATTAAAGAATATTGCAAAGGAAAGAATTCGCAACATGATGACTCCTGCTAAAGTTATCAATGCTAAAAGAATTAGAGCCGGTAATATGATTCGGAGACTCCACGTTTTTACTTATTCAAATATTAATAAATAAAAACTGAAAGTCTGATTTCATAAATACCACTATAAATTATTTTTCATGAAGTCTAATCGTATCAGAAAGTTGATCATTAGTTATAAGTTATTAATGAGAAGCTATTAAAGGTAGAACTTTTGTATACATATATGGTAGGTTGGTTGTGGCGTCGTAAGTGGCACTTGACTTTGCCATTTAAATCCACGACTTTGTTCAGGGTTACGTACTAATACTAGTTACGTACGAACAATAGCATCACTAGTAAGAAGAGGACTCTATTAAACGCGTATAGAAATAAAAGCGTTCACGAAGAGTTTTATAATCAATTTTATTTATCGTTCACAATAAAATAATTACGTACTGCATAACCACAAATTTTATTACTTTAAATACGACAATCCTTCGAAAACTTCTTCTAGTTCCACCATCTGACCGAAAACAATCAACACCACAATTGCTTTATTGCGTCCCCACTTTTGTTGAACCGTATGAGTTTCAATTGCAACAAATTTTACTTCGGTTTGAAGATACTTCAGGTGTTTATGATCGTATCCTTTTAGGACGATTATCCTTCGTCTAATTTTGTGTAATAAATTATATCAATCACGTTATTCAACTTATTTCGTGTATTCATTTAATTTACTTAGAATCAATTAAGTTACTAATTTAAGTTAATTTAAGTTACTAATTTAAGTTATTAATTTAAGTTAAATTAATTAAGTTTTGATTAAAGTAAAGCATCAATGAAAACATTACCCATCTCTTTCCCAGCTATCAATATATTGGTATTTCACTTGATGTTGTTCTAATTTATTATAAAGAAACATCAAACCATCTGCTATCTAAAATTAATTAAAAAAGATTACTTTGTGAAACTAAAAAAATATGATTTGTAAGATTATAGTTTAAAAACGTTTTCGTTACTTAAGTCTTACATTTGCTGCAGCTGTTCCTTGATCCATACGTAGATCAGTATTAAGTACCGCGTAAAACACATATTGTGACGGGCCAGGCTCGCGATATATAGGAACACTTTTTAATTTTCGATACATATGAGTTTTTCGTTTTTTATTTATATGACGTCTGTAACGAAAACAAAATGGTAGCCTTCTATTACAAGCAATAAAAAAATTGAATGATATGTAGTAAATTGAAAGTACAAGATTCCACAAACAAGAAAAATATATAAACCTGTTATACAGCTTCGATAAATTAATACTACTTTTCTTTGTGGTTCTCTTATTACATGTTCGAGTTTTCTCCTCTTTCATCATACGAGATGTCTTCAAACTCCAGAAATGAAGTCAGTGAATGTTGTCTTATACATTTCAACGCTAATTATTGTCATGATTCGAACGGAAAATATATGAAGCTGCAACCACAAACGAGAGCAACTAAAAAAAAAAAGAAAAATGCTATCTCCCTGCAAAAAGTAACAGAGTACAAAGAATGTTGCTTATTATCTTCCTAACAAAGCTTCAGTTGCTTTAAAGGCGTTGTTTGCTTAAACATAACATCTAGTGATAATAATAATTTAGTCCTTTTAAATGTTATCCTAACACGGTTAGAAATAATAACGCGTGTATCAAACCTAGATAATACTTGTGTCGATTGGAATGAAAAGCAGAGAACTGTTGCATCATCAGCTGTACATGTTTTCTTCTCTCAAATATATTCCATTATGAATGGGGATGGATTTAACATATGATTCTATTAATTTATCTGCGATATTTACATACGTCGTATTAACAAACAGAGGCTAGCGAAAAATAATTTATCTGCTGTTATCGACCTAATTGAAATTGCATTTAAAATAAGAGTATCGCAAACTCGCAAACAGAGCGTATCGATATTTCGAATACCCGGCAATTTCAGGTTAGCAGTGTAGTGTTTGGTACGATTAGGTTAGAGTAGCTATTTTCATAATTAAAAATATTCACGGTAAATCTGAATGTCATGTGATTAGTGTGAGGTTTTTGGATTTTTATAGTGATTAACATTCGAACACGTGTTCGTTGAATCGAGTCAGATTTTTCGCGGAGAAACGGTGCATGTTGAGAAGCTAACAGTGTCAAAATATTCTACCAACTGTTCTGTCAGATGTTTTTTATACGACTTTGATACGAAAAGACAAAACAACGTTCAATTTAGATTACAATCCTCAAGATATTTCATACGTTGAAAATGGCTGCAAGTGAACCAGGTGTATCAATTCCTAGAGATAATAACAATTGGAGACAGAATTTAATTTTACAGCTACAAGAAAGAAATAGAAAACAAACATACAGTTTTGCAGACCTTATCAGTTTACGTAAGATTCCTTTCATTATATTTATTAATTTAAATTAAATTTACTTCTGCGGTTTGAAGTTAACCTAATATTGTACAATTGTATCATAATAAACACACATCGTACAAAATGCATGTATTTCTTTTACAGATAATAGACTGTTTGAAAATGCAAACACATTACGAGGAGAAAATATCCAGTTAACTATAGCAAATGAAACTCTCCGTCGAGAAGCAACAAGCAAAACTCCTGGTGTAGGTGTAAATGCAGATCTTGAAGCTCGTCTTTTAAAGCAGGCAGAAGAGCTTGCTACGTTACATAAACGAAAAGGAGAAAATGCGCAACAAATAGTAGATCTTAATAATAAATTGCAAGAAATGATGAAAGAGCTTCAAGCGAAGGAAGCCAGGTATATTACAGCATTCAATTCATATAATCTATATTTTTATGTTAAATGTATTTTTAATGTATGTACAAAACTTTGAATAATTGTATCATATTTCAAAATTTACAGCCTTGCCGAAAGCATGGAGCTTAATGCCAATTTACGTCTAGATATAACTAAATGCCTTAGTAGAGAACGTGAGCTGGAAAGTATCAATCAGATGTTGAAAGATGAACATCAAGCGCTACAACTTGCTTTTGCATCTTTAGAAGAAAAGCTTAGAAAAGTACAGGTATGTCATACACTATTGTTTCACTAATGATGTAATTTATTAGCGTAATATAAGTCTGATTCATTTTATGACACAAGCACTATAGATTTATTACTAATCACTAATCAACTATAAATACTTTTAGGAAGAAAATCGTCAGTTAGTGGAACGCTTAATCAAGTACAAAACTCGAGACGCGGAAAAAGTAAACGAAGAAAACGACAACTTTTTGAAGTAAGTACAATATTTATTTTTATTCTAAGCATTATAATAATATTAACTGCTCTATTTTATTTTATTAACGTTATGTTTGATATTAAGCAAATTATATTACTGAATTACACAGTGATAATTTAGTTACCCTTTTAAATATAGCAGGTGGTTTCTATTAAGCTATGATGTAGTTATTTTTTTTATTCCTAGTTATTATGCAATTTATATTTATTTTGTTTATAAATATTTAAATGATTTTGTGGGATTTGTATAGAAAATGTGTGCGTGATAAATACATGCATGTGGTTATTAGTATCATAGGGATCATATTGATAAATCATTTAGCTTGAGAGGTTTACATTCTGTACATAGTTTCACGTTTTTATCGTACTAATAAATAGTTTTGATCTTGTTTCTGTTTTTTATCACTCGTTTTACAACGATTACTATCAGAGTGGTGTTTAAGTAGTAAAACAGTTTAAAATATTGTATATTAATTATCTGTCGACTAAAAACTCTCATGAAATAAAGATTTTTATTACTCCAATTATCACGCATTAAACGGCGTAACAGTGTTAATAGCTCGAGCTTATCAGATGTGTTTAATTAAATGTGTGAAACTTATCATTGACTAACAAGAGTGTTTCAAGTTCAAGTTTGATAAACTTTTTAAGAGAGTACCAAATTTAATGATAATCATATAATTTATTCAGAATGAAACTATTTTTCCGAATTCTTTCAATTATTTTTTAATATATTAAAAGCATGTTTTTGAATGTAATATGCTACCACGAAAAATGTAATTGCATTATATTTTATGCAATGGTTTGAAAATGTAGTTGTGTTAAGTAGATCATTATCGATATTTTCTTTTACATTCCTGATGTAACAAAACAGTATTTAAATAATTTGTATTCGTTGTATTATTATCATTGACCTATACATTTCTTTTACTATCTTATGATTCATAGAGTTATCTAAATGTCAGTTCTTGTATTAAAAATAGAAATTCATAAAAGTTTTAAGATTATTTCTTTAATATAATGTAAATACTTTTAAGAAGTAGTACACGTGGTTGATATCCAGAAATATTGAAGTATATTGCAGGAACTGCAAATATATTTTTTAAATATTTTTAACATGATATTTAGTAACATATAAAAATTAGTATCTATGATTATACATAAGTATATACAAACTTTCTTAGAATTATACCGCCAAAATATTTATGAAGATTCTGATAAAAATTTAAAGAATCAAATAATGAATTCAAAGAAATATCAATGTCTTATGCAATCTGCAATACTCTTATCTTGATTTATGATAAATGTTTATCTATAATTTATTATGTATGGCGATATTAAAAATCACTTTTGTTTTACTGTAACATATTGTATCAGTAACTACATTCTCAAAATGTTTATATGGGTATATATCTTTAGTGTCATAGTTATTTGGTCATAAATAACCGCAACATCCGTGGTGTGTATGCTTAATTAATGTTCTTAACAGGATAATATTTGTTACTAATTCAAACAGGTTGATTATTACACTAACTAGTACATATTGTAATTAAATTTGTATTTGGTATGGAATGATGCATGCAGGAAATGAGAATATAAAGTAATTTACTAGTCTGAATATGGTGTTAGCAAATTGAAATATTTTAACTAAAAGTTATTGTAATTTTAATTGATATTTAGGTGCTAATAAAAATAGGTATAATACATAAGTATAACACATATTTTAGTATCATAGTTTTGTTTAGCATCTAAATAAGTACTAAATATTTATGACTATAATTTTTATTTAATAATATGTTTTTTCAGAAAGATTTTATAAAATAATATATTGTTGCACAGCTACTGAGTGTATCATTGTGTTAGAAAAATGGCTATAGTTTAAATTACTGATCAAATTTGAAAATTCTCCAGTTTTCAAATTTTAGAAATTTCTGATTAGGGAATTTGGAAAATTTTAAAAATTGGAAAATTGCAAAAGGCAATTAGAAAAATAAAAAATTGAGAAACTGGAAAATTAGGAAATTAGGAAATTGGATAATTGAACATTTTTAAATTAGAAAATGGTGGTCTTGAAAATTTCAATGTTTCTGATTGTTGAATTTTGTTAAAAAAATGTTGAGTGTTAAATTTGCACCTTTTCAAATATGGAAATTGCTAATTGTCAGTGCACTAATACCTGGCAATTGTACAATTCATTTTTACCAATATTAATGCTCCATTTTTCACAATCAGATACAATTAAATAATATGAATTAACTCATCTTTAATACCTAATTTCTGTACCAATTATATTTCTTCTACATTTTAAAGGAAGTTCGATTCAATGGTAACAAAAATACTCCAACCCTTGTTAAAATTATGATGCTTCTACCCTTGTGATGTAGTCATTCAAATTAGTCAAATAATACTTGTGAATATTTTCTTTTACCGTCGTTACTTATGTGTTGTTTTACACAGCAATCACATTAATTTTGTTTCACAATCATTTTCATTCATATCCATTAATCCTTGTCACATCCATCGATATACTTAATTAAAATAGATATACCCAGATGTTTCTACGATATATTTGTAAGTTGTTGTTAATATTAGTCGCAAAACGTTAAGCTTGTCGCACAGAGACACCCGAGATTCGGTCACAACAGTAATCTCTACATTCGCACTTCACACTGCTTGACATTTTCGTTTCAGTGAGAGTTTTTCCAGTCCGACAGCCTTTTTGATGCATACCATATCAAAGTTCGGGTAAGTCTGAGCAAGTGACGTGATAGAAATTACGCTTAATGCTCTATTGCAGCTTTGGGTCGTTTGTTTAAAGGAGCCTGATCCCGCCAAAAGTTCGCACATGTTCACAAAAAAAGCCATTGTCGTTTGTGCTTGATTTTCATAAACGTATCGTTATTGTACCCTGTAACGAAATTAATATTATTAGGAAAAAATATCATTGTCGAAGAAATTCGGAAGACAACGTATTTGCATTATAACTAATAAACATGTACTCAACGAAAGTATTTTCTTACTAAATGTATTTGACGAGTGTAACGATTTGCCAGCCATTCGAATTATACCTACCCCTTTATTTACATGAGTTTTTGATCTAACGAAAAATTAGTAAATAAATTCTTTGATATTAATGCCAGCAACTTTTATTTGATCTTTTTGTTATGAAACTTTTGTGGATGGGTTTTTGATTAAAATGAGATCCAATATTATTTTGGACTATATTTTCAATTGACGATAACTTCGTCACCATGCTCGTTTGATTATACGATTTTACACCATTTTGATTTTAACGATTTCGGGTCACACGATTTTTATTTACACCATTTTGACTTACACGATTTTAATTCACACAATTTCGATTTACACAATTTTCGTTTCACACGATTTAGCTTTACACAGTTCTCCGAGAGATATCGTTCCAGTGTAAATTGGGGGATAGGTATACAACTAATATAAATATTAACCCTTTGGTTACGGTAGAGTTAGACGCATAGCTCTATCATCATTGATAATACCATTATTTAATTCATTTATATTACGTATTTACACTATCGGTGAAAATTTTGATACCACTATTATTCTTTATCCTATTTTTGTTAATTGTAATTAAGTCTTTATAACGTGTTAAATTAATATACTACGAAGTTATTATATTTTGTTAAACATAAATAAGCAAATTTGATTATCAACAAAATTATTTTAAACATCTTTTATGCTTAATAATTACAGCTTTTGTCGTGAATTTTGTAAATATTGATTTTCTATATTACATAATTTTTTTTTAAACAATATTATATAATTTTTAGTGATATAATTAATTACATAATTTTTTGAATATGTAAAATTAGTTTATTGTTGTTTTCGCATTATCATGTTTCGTAACATTTCGAAAGTGCATTTTTATTTAAATATTGAACGAATCCTGCAACGAAGGGTTAATTACAAGGGGTTAGTTATATCTCTTTTTAAATTTATATTTCCTCTTCACTTTTGAAGGAGTAACCAAACTTTAATTATACAATGTATAAATTTTGCAAAATTTGCATTTAAATGTTGTCTAAATTTTGCAATTAGTTTGCTGATTTTATACAATAATTATTTCTGTAATATCCCGAAGCATTTTTTAATAAAAAGGAACAATGAAAAATTGTGTGTGATGAGGTATTTTAAAATTTCTATCTTCCTTCATGTGGTACTACTCTTCATTGTATTTAAACTGTCAACCATGTATGATTTTCATGGTAATTAATATACAGATATCAGATTACTCTAATAATTATAAAATTGTGTTATGAAATAGTCCTTAAAACTCTAATAACTTGACTGAGCAACAACACTGAAACTATACTTGACACATTATTATAAGTTTTTGCATTTATATCGTAAGATTTCAAGATGGATGCCGATGAGGTATACAAAATGGCGTCTCTGCGTCTAGAGACAGTAAGAGGACCCTGTGAAATAAGAATAAGGCTCTCAAAATATTTCATTATTTTGCGCTATTTTACCTTAATATAATTGACCCCATATATCTTAATATAATAATAGATCTACCTTAATATAATAATAAATTTAAGCGAAGTAATTATAGCTTATATCTTCTCTTCTCAACAAATAACCAAAGTAATTTAAGTGCATCATTTCTGTAAGCAGAAATCAAATGTCCTAGTAAGGTGGTTTCAAACTTTTGATCGGCAGTGCACACTAAAATAAAATTCTAAACAACTCTAAAATTACAAAACTAGCCAAATACCAATGCAAGACACAGGTATAAGTCTATAGTGCATTCCACGTTGAAAAATCACGAATCGTACCACTGTGACGGCACATAGTACCTAAAGGGTTAAACCTACGATTTGAAGTAACAACTAACACCATTAATGTGCCAAAGAGTAACAAAAGCAATGGTGTTACTAATTTCGTTTACATCGCATGAAGTATAACAAACAGGATGATCAAAGACAACGGGCATTTATCCACATGTTTTTGGGTATTATTCGCAGCATTATCTCGTACGATTTGATCGTTTCTTTCAGCCTGTTGCCAAACCGTGTTTGCAACGTTCGTTCTTTTTTTGTTTCGTTTTCTTCCAGAAAGAGGCAGGCAAAGGTGCAGAAGGAACTGGAGGACGCTGCCAGGGACACTCGACCCGTTAGTCCTGACAGGGGCAGTCTAAAAGAAGGAATCGCTGGTCTTCCTACTGCGGTACCGACCAAAGTGTCGGTAACATTTGTACGTTGACAATAATTTAATTTATGAGATATTTATCATCATGCCATTATGTAAAGAACCGTGTCCCGCTCGGGCCGCGTCATTCCTCGAATATTTCTTCCTGCGACATTCTTGACATATTTTTAGCAAAAGCGAAATTTCGAGGAGGACCATAAATTAATTTGTGTGCCTTTTTGATAGAACATATTTTTAGTATTATATTTTGAACGGCCCAGCATTCAGATTGGGACACGGTCCTTTGGTACAAATTGACACCTTGTAACCAGAAACTGCATGTCCTGTATGACGAAATAAGAAATTGTTGAATCTCGATGCTTCACAGTTGAAGATTTGTATTAGTGCCTATTCTCAGTTTCGAGATAAATTATAAGTGATTGAAGTCCTAACGTGCGATAATATTCAGTAAATACAGTTAGTGTTTTTAAAGATTATTTTTACACGGCAGAGTTTATGCGAGATTAAATTTGTAGAACAACCATTTCTATTTCAACGAATGACCGCTGCACGATGCTAATGTCTACGGCCAAATTGTTTACGATTTAATATACATATTTTATGACACTATAATTGAGGACGTTTCAGCTTTAGATTGGTCTACATTATTGTCGCACCATCGTGTATACGTAATGATAGTTTAATTGTGTTATATCTGGAGGACGTTTAGGTGTTTATGATATATCAAGGTTTAGAAAGTAGAAATTGTGTGGTCTGTAAATTGTGGGTCTTATGGATTACATGGTTTATGGAGGTTTTCACTTTGATGTGTCATAAATATATAAATGTTCGGGCTAGTTGTATCAGTGATGGGCAAGTATGCCCGAGAGGGCAAGATGAACGGGCATGCACAGCGTACTCAGGCATCGATGATCAGATCGAAAATTTGATATTTTTAAATTTCTAGTATTTTGAATTTTTAGATTTCGATGTAATTTATATTTACATTGTAAATTTGTAATTTTGTAAATTTGCATATGGGATAATATGTAAATACCTAGATTTTTAGATTTGGAAATTTATCCAATTTTTATATTTTTAGATTTGGAAATTTATTCAATTTTTATATTTTTAGACTTCAACTTTTTTGAATGTGCAGATTTTCAGCATTTTAAATTACCAAATTTTTAAATTTTGTAAGATGGGTTAAAGAAAATTTTTAATTTCTATATGTTTAGATTTTCAGAATTTTAAATTGAAAAATTATTTAATTTTCAAACTTTCAAATGATCATTTTTTAAATTTTTATAAGAATTTACATTTGCATATTTCTAAATTCTTTAATATTAAAATATTTTCATTTGTAACTGTTGAAAATTCCAAATTTCCAGTTACAAGTTACTAGATTTTCACATTTCCTAGTTTTTTTACAAATTTTCAAATCTTATAGTTTCTAAGTTAAAAATTTGTATATTTTCCAAATTTGTATTTTTAAAAAAATATACATTAGTAAATTTCTAGATTTTCAGATTCCTAAATTTCCCAAAGTTTCAAACTTGCTACATGATATATTAATTTTCTAAATTTCCATTTTTCCAAATTTTTGAACTTTTTAATTTTCAAATTTTTGAATTTATGTATTGAATTGAAGCATGTGAAAATTATAGAATTTGAAAGTTGTGGAAGTTTATAAATTTATAAATTCAAAAATTTCATAATTCAAAAACTTGAAAGTTTTATAAATGTAAAAATTATATAATGTGAAAATTTGTAAGTTTGAAAGTTAAATTTTGAAATTTATGAATTGGAAAATTAGAAAATTGGAAAATTGGAAAATTTAAAAATGTAAAAACTGGAAAATTAGAAAACTTGAAAATTTGTAAATTTAAAATATAGAAACCTTGAAAATTTGAAAATCTATACATTAGAAAATCTAAAAGTTTGTAAATTTAAAAATTTGAAAATTGAAAATATACAAAATTAGAATAATTAAAAATTTATAAACTGGAAATTTGGAAAATCGGAAAAGTGGAAAATCAGAAAATTGGAAAATTAAAAAATTAGAAAATCAGAAGTTGAGAAAATTTGAAAAATTGAAAATTGGAAAAGTAGAAAAATTAAAAATTCTCCAATTGGAAAATTGGAAAACTAGAAAGGTTGAAATCCTGCAACTTAAAATTCTGAAAAACTTGAAAGTCCATAACTTCGAAAACTAGAAAACTGGTTTCTCGAAAACTAGAAAAAAACCAGAAAAGTGAAAAACTTGCTATTTAGAAAATTCGACAACATTCCAAAATTACCCTAATTTTCAAACTCAGAATTATGCTATATCACCACCAATGAAAATTCATCCAAAGTAAAATTATCTCTACAATATAACAAGAGATTCGATTTTCTTACGTCCTCTATCGCACAGCCCATTCTATCACCGTGCTCCCCACTGCCCGTGAGCTCAACTACTCGCACCTATTCTGCCCATCACTGTTTTACATATTCTTCTAGCGCTAATACCTAAGTAAATCGAGAGAAATACTATTTTTATAAACTTTCTATTGATCCGTATAAAAGTGTTTCCATAGTATTTTCTATAGTACCTTGTTTCGTTATCAAAGTGGGAAAAAGTAAACCATTTGTGTACAAATTATACATTAACATTTTTATCGACGACTTTTGAAAAAGAGATTTTCTAATATTATAAATATAATTTGTTAACTAGTCACGTAAGAACGTTTCTTTATAAGTTAGCACCCTGTGTCTACAATTTAATATAATTTGATGGGAATATACACGTTTAAACTAGTATATAAAATTTACACATATAATATATGCAAGTGTTTATAAAATTCACATATATAATATATACTGTTTATAAAATTCACATATATGTACAATAGTTTATAAAATTCACATCTCTCAGACGTGCATGTTAATGAAATGTTAATACGTTAATTGTACGATTCTATGTTTTAGTGATATTTACAATCGTATGAACTTGTTACGTTCTGATCGAATATTATTTAAGGAAAGTATATTATGTGTAGTACTCATGTGAAATTTAGCATAGCATTGAAATATTTAAGTTAAGTTTAATTCTGTGTTGACAAATGTAGCAACTTTTATAACACGTAAAACTGTTAGAAATATAGTTTGAACTTTTATATTGTTTTGAACGGGGCGACGACAAGAGTATTATTTAAAAGCGGGAATAATAATTATGTGAAGATTAAAATATTTTTTTTTTCTGTTGATACCATGTTCCTACGCTCTCTTAACTAATGTTCACGAGGATTGTGATTTACTAATATTATTTCAATACATTTACATTGAACAAATAAAATGTACAAGTATCGTTTCCATAAATAACGTGTTTATTTGTTATTCAGTGTAGGTGTTAGTATGTGGTGCAAAGAGAGAAATATTTGAATAATTACCGCATTACACAGTATACAGTACCATAATTATTAACATTTAATATTCGTGTTTTATGCATGGAAATTTCAGATATCATGAATTTATTGCAATTTGTTTTTGTTGTAAAGGTTCCGGTTATTTAGCTATTGTAATCAATTATTAACAATCGACGCTTGTGAAATTTTCAAAGTATTAAACATTTAAGTGAGAAGTCGATATGTGGGGATTTACCGAAAAAAAAAAATAAAAATGTGGAATAAGATTTTGTTTGAAGCTGTTTTATATATAGATAATATTTTATATTTTATAGATAACTAACTATTTTATATTTTATAGATAATTATTGTGTAACAATGACAATTTTTTTATTGAAAAAAAAATAATATATTTTAGCAAGTTGACAAAAATAATTTTTAGTTTCGAAAAACTGCAAAAATTTTTAATGGAGAAATAACTAGAATGACGTTTTTAGTAATAAAAGGTTTAAGATTTATAAATAGCTGCCTTGTGAATTCTTTCTGGAAGGTAAACTTTCAAACAAAAATATTTTATTTCACAATTTTAATTTGTTTCTTTATAAAAAATAATTTTGTTGGGTCTTGTACAGAAAACGTAGTGGATGATGTGCGTTACGAGGGGCAGATTAAAATTTAATTCAAAAATTTGGAAATTTGGAAATTTAGAAACTAGGAAACCTTAGAAATTAGGAAATTTTATTTGGGAATTTAGAATGCAAAATATCTGACAATTTGGACATTTGGAAACTGGAGAATTTTTGTAAATTATTTTCAAAATTTCAGATTTTTAAATATCCAAATTTTTAAGATCTTTTAAGTTTAAAAATCTGAAAATTAAGACATTTAGAAATTTAGAAATTTGACAATTTGATATTTTATAAACATCAAATTCTCGAATTTTTTGTATATTTTCTAATTTTCAAATTATTACATTTTCCATTCAAAAAAATAAAAAAATCTGTAAAACTGAGAGTTTGAAAATACGAAACTTTAAAAATACAAAGATACAAATGTTCAAATTTAAAAATTGTTATTTTTCCTATTCCTAACTTCTCAACCCTACAAAATTTAAAATTAATAACTTCTCAGCAAATTTTCAAATTGTCAGATGTTTTAATTGAAATAGTTATTTATCAATGTAGACAATAATGCTAATAAAAGTAGACAAAGTAATAAGTAGTGTTTGAACTTAATTTATAACAAATCTAAATTAATTAATAACAGCATTTGCAACACCGATCGACACGGATATCGTTCATATCCACATTCGATTTGGAATAGAACAAATGCATAACACTATTTTATAAGTAGAAATTCTTGCTTCTAGAAAATTTCTAGGTTAGCTAGTCATTTGAATAACGGAAATTTTCAATGCAGTTATTTCTTTAAATAGCAATAAAGATAATAATAAATCTCGATACGTGTAGTATATTAACTGTTGACTCATGCATGCAAATTTTTCAAAATTTATACGTCAAGTGTTTCATAACCCTTGCAGAATGCGCACGACGGAGAAGTTTATGCTGTAAAATGGTCTCCTGTCGAGAGGATCCTTGCAACTGGTGGAGCAGACAGGAAAGTGAAGCTTTGGAATATTACGAAAGGTAATTAAAAGAAAATCGTATCATTAAAACATTAGTCCTGGATTTAACTTTTTAAATGCGATGCAGTTGGGTATATATACAGGGTGTCCCAAGATTAAACGATACAAAATTAAGATTTTTCTGTTGATAGAAAAATTGGATAAGATGAAAGAATATTTTTGGTGTTTTTAAATTTGAGAATTTGGAAATTTAAAAATGTAGTATTTTTTATATTTTTGGTTCTTTTGGTATTTTTCAAATTTCTGAATTTGGGAATTTTTGAATTTTGGATTTTGGGAATTTGGGGTTTTTGCATTGGAAGATTTTGGGGTTTGAAAAATAGTTTTGGGGATTTGAGGATTTGGGGAATTGGGGATTTGGGAATTTGGGGATTTGGGGATTTAGGGGTTTGGGGATTTGGGGATTTGAGGATTTAGGGATTTGAAGATTTGGGGAATTTGGGACTAATTTTCAAATTATTACATTTTCCATTCAAAAAAATAAAAAAATCTGTAAAACTGAGAGTTTGAAAATACGAAACTTTAAAAATACAAAGATACAAATGTTCAAATTTAAAAATTGTTATTTTTCCTATTCCTAACTTCTCAACCCTACAAAATTTAAAATTAATAACTTCTCAGCAAATTTTCAAATTGTCAGATGTTTTAATTGAAATAGTTATTTATCAATGTAGACAATAATGCTAATAAAAGTAGACAAAGTAATAAGTAGTGTTTGAACTTAATTTATAACAAATCTAAATTAATTAATAACAGCATTTGCAACACCGATCGACACGGATATCGTTCATATCCACATTCGATTTGGAATAGAACAAATGCATAACACTATTTTATAAGTAGAAATTCTTGCTTCTAGAAAATTTCTAGGTTAGCTAGTCATTTGAATAACGGAAATTTTCAATGCAGTTATTTCTTTAAATAGCAATAAAGATAATAATAAATCTCGATACGTGTAGTATATTAACTGTTGACTCATGCATGCAAATTTTTCAAAATTTATACGTCAAGTGTTTCATAACCCTTGCAGAATGCGCACGACGGAGAAGTTTATGCTGTAAAATGGTCTCCTGTCGAGAGGATCCTTGCAACTGGTGGAGCAGACAGGAAAGTGAAGCTTTGGAATATTACGAAAGGTAATTAAAAGAAAATCGTATCATTAAAACATTAGTCCTGGATTTAACTTTTTAAATGCGATGCAGTTGGGTATATATACAGGGTGTCCCAAGATTAAACGATACAAAATTAAGATTTTTCTGTTGATAGAAAAATTGGATAAGATGAAAGAATATTTTTGGTGTTTTTAAATTTGAGAATTTGGAAATTTAAAAATGTAGTATTTTTTATATTTTTGGTTCTTTTGGTATTTTTCAAATTTCTGAATTTGGGAATTTTTGAATTTTGGATTTTGGGAATTTGGGGTTTTTGCATTGGAAGATTTTGGGGTTTGAAAAATAGTTTTGGGGATTTGAGGATTTGGGGAATTGGGGATTTGGGAATTTGGGGATTTGGGGATTTAGGGGTTTGGGGATTTGGGGATTTGAGGATTTAGGGATTTGAAGATTTGGGGAATTTGGGAAATTTGGGGAATTTGGGGAATTTGGGAAATTTGGGAAATTTGGGGAATTCGGGGAATTGGGAATTTGGGGAATTGGGAATTTGGGGAATTTGGGGAATTGGGAATTTTGGAATTTGGGAATTTGGAGCCTTGGGGATGTGGGAAGCAGTAGATTTGGGAATGTGGGGATTTGGGGATTTAGAGATTTTGGAATTTGGGAATTTGGGAATTTGGGGATTTGGAAATTTGGAAACTTGAAAATTTGAAAATTTGGAAATTTGGAAACTTGAAAATTGTGAAATTTGAAAATTTGAAAACTTGTCTAAAAATATTTATCCAACTTTTACCTCTAAAGACCCCCTTTTCCCATAAATCGTAGCTTCCACCTAAAATTGCGAAGACACGAAATGGCACAATTAAGAAAAGTATTGAAATCATGAAGAAATTCATTAAAAATTAATAACTCGACGTTGCAACGACGTAAATTGGTTAGTCAGCCAATACTTATCAAAAATATAATTTCCCGCGTTCAACGAGATAATGTAAGCTAATCAATTGATATGAAAGTCACTTTAAAACTTCATTAAAACTTACTGCAACGAAGTAATTAAAACTTTGTTACCAGCTTTTGTTCGCGAATACATGCTGGAGAAGAACTTTTCGTTTCCAGCTAAATGAAAGAAAAACTGATAGTCGGGATATTCGTCGCTAACATAATTGAGTGACTTTGTGGTAAATTATTAAATGTCCTGCAAACAAGTTAATTTATAGAAATATCAAATTTAATTGTAGTATGATATTTAACCGACATTACATTTTCATTATTATAATTTTATTAATATTCGGTTAGGTTTAGTGTAAAGTTTATTAATTACTGAAAAAAGTTTTACTTATTCTTATTTGAATTATATTTAGTTACAATATTGATAAGTTGTATAATGTTTTTCTTGTAGTATAAAACACTTGAAAAGAGTGCATATTTAATTAAACTGAAGTGTGCATATTTATTAAACTGAAATTTTCTGAATTTGGAAATTTGAGAAGTTTGGTATTTTTGAGTATTAGGAGCAGAAAGTATAATGTATTTTGACTTATAGTAGTTATATGTGTAGGTTGTTTAATAAAAACCGTAAATTTTTAAAAATATAATAAAAAAATATTGAAAAATCTTGCATTATTTTGCGGTCTAAAATTTCATTACTAATAAATAAAATATTTGAGTTTGAGTGACATCTTCGGGGCGCCACTTGAACCTAAAATTGACGAATCAGCTGATCGCTCGCAGGGTCGCCATCTTGTTATAATATAAAATCCGGAAGGTCATATTCTAACCTAGAAATCTGTACGAAAACAGAGGTGAAGATAAAAAAAATAGAAATAGAAGAAAGGAAAATTTATTTTGAAATATTTTAAGCAGGAAGAATTAAGGATATTTATTAACAACTTCCTTTTTATGCAGAAAACAATATTTTTATAAAACAATTTAGCAAATGGAATTAAATTTTTTAATTTTTTTACCAAGCCGGAGATTTTCCTATTAAAACCAGAGTCCGGAGATTTGTTTTAAAATCCGGAGATTGGGGTAAAATAGGGTAGGTGATCCACGGTTACAAATATTCATGCACCTTTATAAAGCGTTTGTGAATTATGGAAAGAAGAGTGAAGGATAATTTAAGCTAGCCATTGAAGCTAGTGAGAATTGCAAGTGATGTATGCTTGTAATTTATAAGCATTGTAAACATTATTAACCCCTTGTATTTTGACGAATTTCACTAGTGACGTACTCATAGCTCAAATGTAACAAATCTTACCCCAAATTTGAATATTTTTCAACTTGAAAGACAGACCCGACTATAATTTGTATAGTCAAGAATTGTTGAACATAAAATACTCACACATGTTAATTTTCTTTGTGTGTTTTAACTCTAGAATTACCAACCAGGCAAAATGACTGGTTTCAGATTTCTCATTTTATACAAAATTTTATTGTTGTGATTTTATGGAAATGTCTGTTGAAGTAAAAACTAGTTCTATATATTACTTGATGCTTTAGTATTTATGTATTTCCCTTTTCATTTTATTTTTCATAAATTAGTAGTTCTAGTGTTAATGTTATATGAATAGTTAGTTTTGACAGACAACAAATAAATTATACAGCAGGGGGTTAAACAGCAAAACACAATTTAAATTACAAATAAGTACTCATAATTTAAATTGCAATTACGTTTGTTTATAATTTATAACCTTCAAAGATCTTTTCTTCAAGTTAAAATAATGAGTAATTTCTTTTAAAAGTTAAGGGTTAAAAAAGATATTAGGTGATTTTAGTGTTGACGAATCAACAGGTTACCCGATGCCACCAAAGCCTATAGCAGATCATTTTCTTGCTATGCTGAAACGACTATATGCAATATAACGTATTTTGAGAGTAATTCCTTTGTCGCGTTGCAAATTGAATGAAACATCCGTCCTTATTGTGGGTTATATCCGCTAGGGCCGCCCTTTCACAGCTCTTCTTCACCCACTCGACACTTTCGCGTATTGTTTCACCTCTTTCCTGAACTGTTCGAGTTTGATTCCGTTTCCTCGAACCATTTGTCTCTTCCTTCTTGCTACATAATGTCGATGGAATTAATTTTAGTGGGATGCAGGATATTATATCTATCTTCCGATTTATATGGTATTATTTCCATTTTATGCGAGTTTTGAAATAAGGGTAGTTAAGGTTATTTTGATAATATCGATGCAAGGATAAAATTTTCATATTCTTCGTTTTTTTGTAATATGAAATTTTTTTTTAATATTAATTCCAATAGATTTCTAACGTTTTTTTGGTTAATGAGGGATTACACATTATTTAATTCGGACTTTAATTGTTGTTCTGATTAAAATAGGATTAAGGAGATTTAATATAAATTTTTGACAATTTTCTGATTGAAATGGGAATGAATATGATTTCATTTAGATCTTTGACACTTTTCTAATTGAAAGGAGACCGAATATAATTTATTTTTGATTTTTGATACTTTTCTGATTGAAGTGAGATTGAAAACCATTTAATTTCGATTTTTGGTACTTTTCTGATTGAAACGGGACACGATTTAATTTGGAATTTTGACACTTTTCTAATTAAACTGATATCAAATACAATTTAATCTGCACTATATCTACTAGTTTATTTACGATGATTTCAATGTACTATCTTCAAAGTAAATAAATTGGGATATGTGCAGTTATATTAACCCTTAATGCTTCACCTTATATCAAGTAATCGAGGAAGTTCCCCCTGTCTTAATGAGATAAATGATTTTGATCCACAAAGTTTTTATAAATGTGACTACATTTAAATATAATTGCTTTACGAATTTACTTTTTAATAATATTTCAATATTAACTAAACGTCTTTTAAAATTATAATGTGTTAAAAAGAAAACTGCATTCTTTCTATTGAGGATAGCTGGCAGCAACCCTTGATATTTAATTAAAAATTTCACAAAAAATATCATATTACTTTGTCATAAGGGAAAACGTATTAATAGGGTGTTTACGTATTTTAATTAAGTAGACATGAATATAGTGTTCATGTTTTATTTGTCAATTGGAAAATTTAGAAATTACAAGAACTGTGTTGCATATCAAATAATGCATCGCACTCGTGACGCACCCTATAATACAAATATAGCAAATCTGATTCTGCATTTGGTATGAATAAATTTTAAGTATGATTTTGTTTATGATCTACAAGATTAGTTATCGTTAAATACAAAATATATGCAAAATTCACATTTTCTTGGTTTTTTTATTATTATTTAATATTATTCTTGATTTTATTAATATTGCAAGAGTAATTAGTTGGCATTAACTGACGCACATATTGAAAAAATCATAGGTTAGGAGAAATGTCATAAGAGAGGTAAATTTCATTCTATAAAAAATTAAATTTTTATTTGTTCTACTAAAAGCTGGATAACAATTTGGGAATTTATCAGTTGAAAATTTGGGTATTTTGAGATTTGAAGATTTGGGGGTTGGAGATTTATACATTTTTGAATTAGGGTATTTGGGAATTTAAAGTTTTGTAAATTTGGAGATTTGGTGATTCAGGAATTTGAAAATTTAAGGATTTCGGGATTTAGAAATTTGGAAACTTTATAATTTTGGGATATATGGATTAGGGGGTTTAGGAATTTGGAAATTTGGGGATTTGGAGATTTGGCCATTTCAGCATGTCTGGATTACGAAATTTAGGGATTTGGGAACTAGAATATTTAGGATTTAGTCGATTTTCTGATTTCGAGATGTGTGGATTAGATTCAGAGATTTGTAAATTTAAAAATTTTGAAATTTTGAAATTGAAATATTAAGGAATTGGGAAAATAGAAAATTATAAAGTTGACAAACTTAATAATTTAGAATTTTATTAACTTCAAAATTTGTGAATTTTGGAATCCCACAATTTGAAAATTTAAAGATCTTGAAATCTAAAAACTCAATGATTTCAAAAACCTTCTGTTCATAGAAAGCCACCTATCCATATTAAACCTAAACCGTAGGTTATTAACTAATATTGTTAAAAATATTAACAATAAAACTTACATTTGTTAAAATTATAAACACAATAACTTCGAATCATACGCGATTCCTGAAACGAATATGTAATGAAACAACAAATGAATGAACATTTATCAAATTTTTAATTATAGACTAACATTATTGTTCTTATATTTTCCAGGTTCTTCGGAAAGCAAAGGTATTCTTGTTGGCAGCAACGCAGGAGTAATGTCAGTGGACTTCGACTCAACGGGGACACTAATTCTTGGAGCGTCCAACGATTATGCTACCCGGGTGTGGACGGTGAATGATCTTCGACTAAAGGTAAGTAAAAATTCTCCACATATCTTTTCATCCGAAAGAAAATTCATTCTTGGATGAAACAATATTTACAAATGTTTTAAATTTTCCTAGAAATTATTTCGCAATAAATTATTTGCGAATGTTTCGCAGTCTTTTAGACGGCATCTTAAATCAGTCAGCTGATCGCTTGTAGGGTCGCCATCTTGAAATATAAAATCTGTAGAAGTCTAACCTAGAAATTTAGATGAAAAGAGATGAAATTAAAAAAAAAAGTTTCTTCTAAAAACTAAATATGTAATATTTTAAAAGAATTAATATTCTAAAAATATTAGTAACTTTTATTAACAACTTACATAAAAAATAAAATAATATTTGAGTAAATCTATTGATACAAAATATTTTCGTAAATGGAATTTTTGTGAAAATAGAACATACAAATATCTAATTTTTTGGGGGATGTTTTACAAAATTTGAGTATAAACACCCCGTTACGGAAGATTAAACGATGTGCTATTTAAAGTAGCTTTTTCAACGCATAATAGAGTTCGATCTCTTTCCGATAATAATACGCGATTATGCGCGGTGCGCTTTATTACCGAAACTTGCATATTAATACGCTGGTAATTGTACCGTAAAATTGCGTGAGTTATTACACAGTGATGAGGTCTCATTAATACGACATCGGCGCTTTTATTCGTTGCTATAAATACGATACATAGCAGCGTAGAATGTTTGCGAAATTGTGTTAAAGAAGAAAGGTGTGATAATGATGCATGCTAATTTTCTTCTGTTTGAAAATATGACTGGCTCTTTGGATTATTATCGAATTACGATTATTTCGAGTTCTGCAAGGGTAAAAAAATGAAAAGGTTTTATAAAAATAAAAGAAAAAACGTAAAGTTCAATATTGTTGATGTTAAATTGAAGATATGTTGATTGAACTTAAATAAACTACACCAATTTTATCATTAAAAAGTTAGAATTCCTTATCTGTCCAATTCGCAAAGAACTTCATAAATAGAACCAAATTTTACTATCAAATGTTCATCTACCAATTTAAATAAAATCCTAAAGTCATCAGCAAACATCATAACAATTACTTGAAACCATTTACGAATCTTTATGTCCGTTGTGCCGTGTTGAAACGCTATTCGATGCTTCTCAGTTCCATAACCTTTCGCTGGAGAATAATACTCTCCTCTTTCGTCGATGATGTCAATATTCCCTCATCTAAAGTTTGTCCCAGTTCTTCTACTCTTCGGCAATTCTTGATGTTGGCTACGGAACGAAAAGTTTCTCGGTTGTCTTTCTCGTGGTCCTATCTCCTTTTTCTTCTTTGTGTTTCTTTGAAGGAATCCCACTGAAAGCGGAAAAGTCATCTGGGAAATGATTTTTTCTTCGATGTGCAATGCGGAAGTTTCTTGCGAAGTTGGGAAGAAGAAACGTGCAACGTATTTCATTACATTATATTCATTTATACATGTTCGAATATTGCATGTGCAGATGTGGAACCATAAGTTGGAGGGTGAGGATTGGGCTATTGGAAATTTGGGATTTTGGTAGTTTAGGCATTTTTGAAATTTTAATGGTAATTCTACATCTTGGGATTTGGGGAATGTTAGTATTTTAGGAATTGAAAATTTGGTAGTTGGAATTTTGGACATTTACAAATTTGGGAAGTTGGGAATATGTGAATATGTGTATATGTGAGAATGTGAGAAAGTGAATATGTGAATATGTGAATATGTGAGTATGTGAATATGTGAGTATGTGAATATATGAGTATGTGAATATGTAATTTGGGAATTTGGGAATTTGGGAATTTGGGAATTTGGGAATTTGGGAATTTGGGAATTTGGGAATTTGGGAATTTGGGAATTTGGGAATTTGGGAATTTGGGAATTTGGGAATTTGGGAATTTGGGAATTTGGGAATTTGGGAATTTGGGAATTTGGGAATTTGAGAATTTGAGAATTTGGGAATATGTGAATATGTGAATATGTGAATATGGGAATTTGGGAATTTGGGAATTTGGGAATATGTGATTTTGGGAATTTGGGAATTTGGGAATTTGGGAATTTGGGAATATGTAAATATGTGAATATGTGATTTTGGGAATTTGGGAATTCGGAAATTGGGAAATTGGGAAATTGGGAAATTGGGAAATTGGGAAATTGGGAAATTGGGAATTTGAGAATTTGGGAATGTGTGAATATGTGAATATGTGAACATGTGAAGATATCAATATGTGAATATAGAAAGTTGGTAATTTTTAAATTTGAGAATTTAGGAATTTGCAGATCTCAGAAATTTAAGAACCTACCCTTCATAAAATTTCAATATTTCGTCTTTCAAAAATTTGAATAACAAAAAATAAAAAAATATCCCCAAGAATAAAAACGTTACAATTAAATTGAAGTTTGATCCAGCAAGATGAATGAAAAGCGATGGGAGATTTCTCGCTACACTTGTCCTTAATCAAACGCAGCCTACATTGCACCCAAGTGTACAAACATTTCATCCGCTGCTGAAGCATCCTCTCGTTTCTCTTCTCTTGCAGTTTTTTCATCGTTGCTTCTTCCCCCGTTGCATTTTTTAACCGTTCTGTTTACAAGGCAGGCAAGCAGGGGCGCGTTGAGAATCCACTCAGCAGGCGGCAGTTTCATTCTGAAGATTGGCGGCCAATGGCGCGTAAACTTACGAGAAAGCACGCGAACTGTGAGAGATTCGAGACGTAGCCGGCCTCTTCTGCATCCTCTTCGACTATTCACGATGAAAGCTGCGAGAACTGACCTGACGGCTGATGTTTATTCTCCGGTGTTACTTGTCCAAACGATGTACACTCCGTTGCAACATAGGTTCCCTTTCGACATCTTTTTATTTTCACATTTTTATATTTTACTATTTTGGAACAGTGAAGTTTTCAAATTTTCAGATTTATGTATTCTCAGATTTACAAATCTTCAAAATTACGAAATTGTCTCAAATTGTCACACACTCAAATTCTCAAGTTCTGCAACTGTCAAATTCTCAGATCAAATTCTCAAATTCTCAAAGTATCAATGTACTTTACCTTGAATTCATATTTGCTTCTACTTTGTAAAAATAGCTGATCCTCAATTACCTCCAAATCCAGTTTCATGCTACATACTCCATCACACATGAGTTACATACTTAACCCTTTTGGAACATATGATACCCCATATATGATACCTAACCTAACCTAACCACATAACAACATACGTTAAATATATCCACATAGATCACTCCTTTACCCCAAAATCCGATTATCCTCAAAGACAGTAGAAGTTAAGGTCTCATTTCTATCGAATTGAAAATTACGGTCATTGAAGGTCGTTCATTTCTGTTCCTCCACCTACTTTTTCTTCGACAGTTTCTTTGCGTGGTAAATTTTCTATTTCTCGACAGACCCTTGTTTGTCAGCCTTCTAGCAGAGAAGCGATGCGTTAAACGAATATCAATGGTATTGGAGGGTAGCTGGCCAGAGCGATAATGGACTCAATTTCGCGGCAGCAAAGCTCTGGTCGTTTGGATTTCTCACGTCCTCCGACATACTATCGATTCTTTGGTGAAACCCCTCGCAGTGATTTCCTGGTCGTTCAGTATTGTGAAATCGTCATACCTTTTTCTGTTGCTTCGATCTACCAATAGACGCGCAGGCTATTTCGCGTCTTTTCATGCACTGTTCTTTGTCCGCGATAGCAGGGCTGCGATAAGGTGTCCGTATTGTGAATCTTCTCTATCTCGAAATCGTAAACGGACATAATGATATTTTCGAAGTGAATTATTGTATTTTTCCATCATTTTATTTCTACGTTTTTCCCTAATACTGAAAATGTCCTGCCAAATTAAAATTAAATTATTGCTAACATGACATGTGAGGTTATTGTCAGATATGTCATATAAATTAGTCTTAACAATTCCATCTTTCAAATTAGTATCCTTTATTATATCTGAAGTAATATTAAAAAGTATACACTGAAAATCCACATTTACATGACATATGCGGAAGCTAGCTAGCTCTTGGAAGTTAGCTCAAATCAGGTTTTCATGTTTCCACGAAATATAAAATTATTCCATTCAATTACACGTTCAAACACTACCATTGTGCTTCATAATTCTCCCAAGGTAATTAGATCACGGATACAGTAAGGGTAGTAATCCAAATAATTTTCCACGAAATATAAAATTATTCCATTCTTCAATCATACATGTCTCAAATATCTACCATTGCGTCATAACTCTCACATGCTAATTAAATCACTCATACATTAGTGCCAGTAAGTCATCCAAATAATAGGAGTTTACTCGTTCATGGAATACAGTTAAAAATTAAAATGAAAATGAAAAAACTGAAATCGGTTATATAACAAAAGCCTCCGGCGTTAATTCTGGAAATACGAATGTGCACATAGGCGTCATCCAGCGGAATAATTTCAGGGTAACACGGTGGGCAGCGGGCACCAAGGTGGTAGTCCCTTCAGTTCAAAGGCATTACTTTCGTGCCGAGCCCAGTAATTACCCCGTGAAACTACCGCATTTACATCCCTAATAGGATATAGGTAGGAATGTCAGGTACACTCGCCAGAACATCGCTGGGCAAGAAAAAGTTAAATCTAAATACTGCCTTTACCGTTAATCCTTTCACTGAATCTAATGTTTCGAACATTTTTATTTCTACCAGTGTCACTTCTGAGAAATTCTATCCAGATTATATGTACTTATCTCGGTATTATGACTTGCACATATTGTGGGTCTATTTTGTTATTTTGAGATGAATATGCTCGATATACCTGGTTCATTTCGCTGAATTTATTTAGTCTGACTGAATTTGCCGTATATAAAAAAGTTGTCTATATTTTCGACTTAATTTGTAAAATCAAATTTTACTATATAAAAAAGTGTTCTACATTTTCGACTTAATTTGTAAAATCAAATTTTTCCACATAAAAATATTGCTCTGCATTTTCGATTTGATTTTAAAATTTTTTAGTTTGTCA